GACATGTAGTTTAGGTACAACGGCAAACGGTATTCTCTTCTCAACAGAGCCCAATGTCACCGGCAAGTAGATTACTCCTTCTATATCGAGCGCAGACCCGGACACACCGTTCAGACTGCCAACGTAGGGCATTAGAGGAGAGTTAGTTAAGCCGAGACGCTTCAATACCCGCCTATGCACTAGGCACGCTACGGCTCCTGAGTCGATGAGAAGTTCGGCCGGGAGGTTCTCGATAAACCCCCACGATAGAGCTTCCACGCCCCCTACCGATCCGATTACTCGCTTGCCGAGGGGAACGATTCCTTCTTCCTCGTCAGCGGACCTGTTATTAGTAGCGCACGGTACTTCCACCAGGCCTGGCTTGGGGCGAGGTTCTGGAGCGTTAGCGACGACGTTCACATAGCCGTATAACCCGTTTTCCTTATCTCGTGAAGAACAGTTTGGTCCGAGTGCTTCGGTACGGTTGCTGAATATAGAGGAGCAGTCGAAACTGACTATCTTTGGCGCTGGAGAGCACCTAGGAGCAGGATCATTCCAACGACAGAGTCGGCAGGGTGAACTCCTCTCGAAGATCTTCAAGCGGAGTTGGTCAGCCTCCTCCTCGTAAAGGTTCGCAATTCTTTTAGTCAGTAGCTCTTTCGATCGCGAGTCAGTGGGAGCAGCGAGGCTATTGATCCAGTCCTCGATCCGGTTTCGGAGATCTTGGAGCCTAGTGGGGGGCGAGGAGTCATCTTTCTTTTCTTCTTCTAGCGATCCTTCACCAATACACCCTTCACACCAGCCACCTTCACTTAAGGCTTCACCCTTTACGAGGAATATACTGCTCGTCGCACTATGGCTCGCCAAGGGTCAGACACGACACCGCGAGGGTCCAGCAACTTGTACTCGGTTTCATTGAGACCGGAGGCCCTTTTCGGGGGACTTCCCAGGGCCAGCGCGATATTGTCTTCCACTACAGAGGGGTCCGCGTGACACTCTTCTCCAGGTAGAGGGGGGACCTTCAGCTCCGGGAAGTGCACTATCGTCTTAAGCGCGTCCTGCCACGAGAACCTCTTCGTCGCGGTCCCTCCACCTTTGTCGCGGTAATCGGAGTCGTCCGACGTCACAGAGTTGATCCGTACTGGCTTTTCCTCTTTGAAATTACGGTTGGCTCGCTTCGCTTCTCCGGACGAGGCCAGCGTCTTTTGGAACCATTCCAGCCAGTACTCAGGAGTAGATAGCCGACCGGGGGAAGAATCTCGGGTCCTCGCTAGTTGTTCTTCGGGAATGCCTAGTAAGTCACTCAACTCGGCAAGGGACCATTCCTTCGATTGTTCCGCATTCTCGACTAACCGGCGCTTCAGTTCGACTTCATCGAGAGGAAACAGTCGGTCTTCGAGCTCTTTGTCATATTCTTCTTTCTCTTCAGCCAGCTCGGATGGTTTACCTTCTTCCAACGTATCTAGTTCCTCTTTGGTGAACACCCTCGCGAAGGAAGGCTCCTTCTCCGGTTCATCCTTTGGAGACTTAGCACTGACGACGTCCTCAGAGTCTTTTTCGGAGGCGTCGTCTCTCTCAGGAGGGGTCACGTCTTTCTCCTGCTCACGTGGTTCCGTCTTTGGTACTGGAACACTAGCTTCGGTAGCTCCATATTCTTCTCGGGTTGGGCTTTCGAGTACCTCCGTCACGTCTGGGAGTAACTCCTCCTGTATAGGGCCGTCATTGGACTCACCTTTTTCCTCGTCTTGATCGAGCACGCTCGAAACCACACTCTTGTGGTTCGTTGACGTCGACGGGTAGTCTCGTTCCGTCGAGGACGCCTGAAGTTGCGGCTCTTCCGTCTCTCCTTCCTTGCTTAGTTTTTCGTTCGTTGTTTCGATTTCGCTCTCTTGGTCATCTCTCGTAACCACTCTTAGGTTCGTATTGGAGCGTTCGTCGACGTGCGCAGCTATTGCGGATCCGTCCCATACGGGTCCCGAGCCTACCTCTTTTACAAACGCTTCTCTCTCCGGCTTCCAACAGTCGTTGGGTTTGAGACTACCGATACCCCGTTCCACACGAGCGCCGTACGTCCTTCATGCTCAAACGGCAGTATTTCTTCAGTTCTCGTCATATGTTCATTGCTTACGTTCGTTTCATTTCTTTCCGGTAAGGCGGAGCTCATCCCACCTCCAACAGGACACACTTCATACCTCTTGGTCGACTCCTCCGCGGAGTTCAAAGTATTCCCATTTGTGTCGATCCATAGACAAGTGGAAGGAGCGACACTCCCTTCCCCTCCCTCTCGCCCCCATCATTGCTGGTTGGGCGCTTGTCCTTGGACAGGTCCCACCGTTGCCCCTGCCGGACCGCCCAGTCTCTTTAGTGACGTCTTTAGAGGGCACTCCGCCAACATATGACCCGATTCATCACACAGGAAGCACTTGCGTCCGCTCCTCGGCTGGGTGTTCCGAAATCCGCTAGGGGGGTCACGCTCACATTCAGGACCGATGTGGCCCACTTCCTTACAGTGAGGACAGGTGGCTTTGCCGCGGCGACAGGGAATTCGACTACACCCCAGAGTGTGACACCGACCGCACACGAGAAGACCATCTTGGGTTCGCAAGTCTGGACCCACACGAACGTCCCGGATGGGTGTAATAGGAAGCGTCCCGGTAGGCTGATAGTGTAGAGAGGGGTTCGGATCAGGAGGAGAGTAGGCAGCAGCTACATTCATCGCCGGGGAAGCATAGGCGGTCGTCAGGGGACGCTCCATCAACTGCTGTTGCTGTTGAAGTTGTTGCTGTTGTTGCTGAGCGAGTAGATTCTGCGTCTGCTGCATCATGTTCATCATGCGTTCGAGGACAGCGTTCTCTTGGGAAGCTTTAGGGGACGGCACATTGTCGAACTCGGAGTCGTCTTCAACCGGACGGTGCATATTCTTAAGGAGCAGCATGGCCACAGCCGCAGGGATGGAGTCAATCATCGTCGTGGTGAGAGCGTTCCTTTAATCTCGGTTCCGAAGCCCAGACAAGAAGTACTGGTAACGCATCTGAGGATCGTAGCACTGAGCATCATCGCAGAGGCTTGAAATCATGTCGCCCCACACTTCGGCGGACATTCCCCTGGGTCGCTTAGTGTTCTTAAGGTTCTCAATTGCAACGGGGTCTGACTGATGAACTGGTTGTGGAACCGAGTTCTCAGAGCTTCAAAGCTGTTGATGCGCGAGTACATCCACCAATCTTCGCCGACCTTGCCTTTCAGACATTCACGGAAAGCGCTAAGTCGCAGAGGTTCGTCCAGCCCGATTGTGGCGTTCTCGAAGGCCTCCCAGAAGGATCGAGCCTTCTCTACCGACGCTCCTACCGAGTAAAAGGGTTGGAGCATGCGGATAGCGTTCCGGATGTTAGTGGGCATACCATACTGGTCACTAGTAGTCGAAGGCGTATTACCATACGTAGGCGAGGAGTAGTAGGAGTTACCTCCATATTCCACATACGCAAGACCCTGATGGGCTCCGGCCGAAGCCGTAGTTCCTCCGTTTCCTTGTGAAGCTCGGGTTGTTCTCGTAGGGTCGACTCCGTACGCGATTCCACTGGTAGTCGAAGTTCGAGACCCCGTGCCTTGGGTAGGAATTCGAACGGTAGGCGATGAGGCCTGGAAGGGAACACTCTGAAGAACGGGAACGGTTACTGCAGGAGCGTTCCCCCCGCCACCTTGCAAGTTACCAGAGGGCTGGAGACCCCAAGGAGGAGCGTTAGAGGTCCTCGGAGGAATACTTGCCGGGGAAGCACGTCCACCGATTTCAGGGACAGTTGGTAGGGAGAAGAGCGGGTTGAAGTCCTGCCCATATGACGTATTCGGGGTTCGAATTGTGAAACCTTGGTACGACGGGATTGCAATCCTTACTGGAGTCGTAGGAGGGGGAGTCCCCACGAGACCGTTCCCACCAGTTCTCTCCATAGCGGCTGCAATCTCAGGAGGGCCACGAATCTCAACCAGTTGAGGGAGTTGAGCCAACCTTGCACCGTACCTCGGCCGCCTCCGCCGTCCAGAGTCAGCATCGAGCCCAACCCTTCCGAAGTGAAGGTCGCAGGGACCCCGGAGCCCAAAGCGTCCGCGGGTGGCTCGACACCAGTTCTAGAGTTGTTCCCCCCAAGTCGGTTAGCCGCTTGGTTTATGATATTCTGCACGTTTTGGAGGCCTTGCGTAGTCGACAGACTGGGTCGCATTCTCGAAGGCAGACTCTTCGTCGGGCCTTCTTCTTCCCGGACAATGGCGCTCTCATCTTCTCTGTTGCTAGTAGCCGACATCTTGTCCTTCCTTCTGACGTTCTCCGCGAGACTTCACTTGGAGCAAGACCTTCTCCAGCTTGCAGACTACCCTGCTTCTCCACCAGATGTCGTATACCTCCTCTTCGTTCAAGGGTCGGGTAGTCCGCGGCTGTTCAGGGAGTACGGTCTTGTTCAGTGGCTGCAGGAACGGTAGATAGGAACACTAGAGAGTTGAAAATAAAAGTTAGTTGATTGGCTTGACTTCCTCTTGAGTAGAAGGAGGGAAATATAAGACTGAGAGCTAACCGGAAGAGAGGCCTAACACCTTCTCGACCTTACATACACTACACTACATATTGAAAAAAGGAAGGATTCACTTCGTCTGTTGTCGGCCTTCGTAGGACAACAGAGAGCTTCTGGGAAGGGGCTTGATGTCGCGAGGTGCTTTTGGTCCCACGACGCCAAGACTCCGGCGTTCTGGGGCCCCTTATAGGACCACCCTAACGGGCTCGGTCAGGGGCACGTGCGTGGTTGTGTTCAACGGGAACCACCCTGACGGGACGGCGGGGTGAGGAGTGATTCCAGGGTCTCGAGTCATCCCGACGGGAGGCAGAGCTCCTGGAATGACCCCTCCGTTCCCGGGTACGGGACAACTGTAGTATATGTGTGAGTTACAAGCATCATCACATTTCGTCATAAAATGATTGCTCTCTATTACGATACTTTTGTTGTGCGATCATTTCAAAAAGTCAGACCTCCACCCCAACATTAAATTCCAGAGAGCTTTGAATTCACATCATAGAAGACGGAATAGATCATGTTCACGAGTTCCATCTAGCCTAGTTGATGAGCAATGTCTCGTCATCGTCGTAGCCGAAGTCCTTCTTATACTCCGAAAAGAGTCGCTGGATCTCCGCAACGTACTGCGTGTGCACAGCGTGAATCTCTTCCTCGGAGGGATTAGCTGTCAGCTTGGTAGGAATAGGCTTGCCGTACACGACGCCAAATCGCTTGCCCTTGGGCGGCTGCTTGGGCATCCACATGAACTTTCCCCAGAAGATGATCACGGGGATCCTGAGCGTTTTGCGGAAAAAGTCGATCAAACCCTGAGGAGGGTTCCACATGCTGCGAGAAACATCATAAACGCAGGTAAGTAACTGAACAGCAACGTCAAAATGCATTGTCAACCGGTATTAATACTCACTTGTAGAGCCACTTCTCTCCGAACACGAAGCTTGGAACCAATTCCGCGCCGTGGCGCATAGCCAACTTGACGAAACCGAGACGTTTCTTCAACACAAGCTCGTTCACCTTGGAGTTGGGGTCCGTCTTGAAGATTTCCAGGACACCACCAGGATACACGACAATGCTAGTGCCGTCGTTCAGAACCTTGTCGGCCGTGGAGCGGGAGGCGTCGACGCCGCCAAGCCACAGACAGAGTTCACGGCCCAGTACATCGTCGAGGCGCCCAATGCTGTCGAAGAATACCAACAACACCCATAGAGTTAGTACCTACGAGTAAATCAGCTTCAGCAGCAGGTGCTGTACCTCGTGTCGGGATGCCTGGGAAGACCTTTTCCCAGTTGCCGCCATAGGTGGAGACACGTGACAGCACAATGATGCCGTGAGGGTGGAATCCGAAGATGTACTTTTTGTTGCTGCCCAGCTCCTGCTCCCGAATGACTTTGATTCCAAGAAACTTAGCGCTGAGGCCCCATATGTGACTGGAGCGGAAGGCTGGCCAGGGGTTTCCTTTTGCCGTCTTCTGGGCACCACTAAGGAACGACGGTAGATAGAGCACTACGAGCGACACTGACACGTAACCGTAACCAATACTGTAGAGATAGTAGAAAAGCACGACGAAGGGCACGCCCCAGACGTTGTAGTGGATGGTTACGAAGCTAAAGAGGTCCGTCGCGAGGTTCTGAGCCCACTGCGGCACGCGTGAATCTTCGGAGAAGAATCCAGGCGTCTCGTACACGAGCGGGCACCCCCCCTTTGGGTCGTGGATGGTGAAGTGACCCCGTTATCTTGCTCCATGGCTTTGAACTCCTGCGCCGTCATATCTGCTGGTTGCGGTGAATATCGTATGACTGCCAGCACAAATCGGAGAGTGTGTCAGCGTCTCAGCGGGCCATGTCAGTGAGTATTATAATTTCTTTAGTTTGTGTGGGGTTTACGTTTAGTCAACAGAAGGTATCTATAATACACACCTGTATACAGTATAAGGTACATTGCCGGATGGTTTTTGTTTCAAAACTTCCCTATCTCCAGCTACCTTTTATTCAACAAGCCCCGCAAGCGGTCTATTAATAATAGTTTAGGCCGAGTGCGCGGTGGGCATCTTTTCGCTTAAAAACATTCAGATTTGGAATTATAAACTAAGGTTTAAACGGAAGTATTTTGTAAATCGAGCCGCCGCCTCGCTACGCATCGCTATAAAACAAAGCGTATTTTATACTACGTAACTGTGTTGCTGCAAGATCCATCGTACTTAAGCGAAATTTGGTCCTTTGTTGTTATGTCAGTTCTACTTAAGACAATTTATGTTCGAAAAGATGTCGTAAATGTTGATTTGATTGTACTACCGGTCTATTAATAGACAAAACCCGCAGGTGATTTTAAGGCATCTTCGCTGGAGATGGAGATTGTGACGGGGTCACACAGCACCTTGCGCTGGAGGAAGTTGGCTTCCGAGAGTATACAAACTCTCAGTGAACGGCAGTTCACAGGTCCCCTTTTACCGAAAGGGAGCGAAGTGACCAATTTAATGTAGATTGTAAACGGAGTGTATTTATAGGTAGATAAAGCTTGAGTTAAATACAAACTATAAGTCACCTATAGTAAAGCAATGTCATCAGCCAATGGTTGGCCTTGGTACCTTGTACCAAATATCCCGAAGTATGACGTGTCACAGTTCATGTAACCAGGGTACACTTAGGGCTACGTACCCCGTTACATCCTCCCTCACTTAGGTTCGGTTTACCGACCAATCAGAATAAAGAGGTGCACGTCACAAACTTCATTCTCAAAGTCGAAAACCATCGACTTGGCCGCGCGAGCGTGGCGGAGGCTCACTTTACAATTAGAGCCTCGAGCAGCAGTCTGTGCGCTCCTCTTCTTGGTCTTCACATCGACCGTTACCATGCCCCGAGGTACTGCGAAGAGCGGTGCGAGACATGCTCCAAGGCTGCTGCGGAAAGGCGCAAGTCAGGGGTACTAAGCCTCATGCCAAATGCTCGGCACTCCAGGAGGCTACTTAGGTGGCCTCCGAGGTGATCGGCTCAACGGGTGACGCGGCGGTGGGCAAGCGAGCAAGCAAGCGCCGCAGTCCTTCGCCCTCGGCCTCAGACAATTGTCCGAACCCTCGGTTTGTGGAACGTGAGTTCAACTCTGGCAGTGAGGACGAAGCCGAGTCCGAGAGCACGCACGATGCTCCTGCGGGCTCTATGGGAGGGCACAGCCCAGTGCCCAGTGAGCACAAGGACGACAGCGTGCAGTCGCTTGCTAGGGATCGAGGTGATCACAGTCCCAGGACGTCTGTGCGCTCTGAGAGTCCGGCCGTCAAGGCTAAGGGCACTCCCAAAGCCGGTGGCGATGAGGAAGAGAATCCTCGCAAACGTCGCTCGCTTGCCGAGGGTCTTGCGCGTTCTAAGGCCTCTAAAGCCGAAGGCGCCAAGCCCTCAAAGAAGCGTACAGCCTCTAAATCTCCACTCCGCGAGGAGAAGGAGACTCAACACTCATATCAGAGTATCTTCGACTCCTCGGATGAAGAGGAGGAGAAGGAGGAAGAAGAAGAGGAGGAGGAGGGTGCTATCGCTGAGCCCCGGGAAATCTCGAATGACCTCGACCAGCAGCAGGAAGAATTCCAAGCTGCCCAGTGTGTGCGTGGGGGTTCGGTGGTGGCACCGGTCAGCAAGGGAGCTGCCATCAACTCAAGAGGGTATTGGCCTCCCGAGGAGAGCTCTGGGGCTGACCTCTTCTTAGAGCTTCTCGTCGCTCCTCGTGGCCTTGTGGGCGGCCACATTTTTAGGGACATCTACGAACGTGCCCTTGTTCAGAAAGAACAGTTGTTCGTTGACAACTTGGAGGCTGCTCGGTGTGTGCTTCTCGCGCCACACCGTATCCCTCTTAAGGACTTCACGACTTGTCGTAAGAAGCCCGAGACCCGGGGTGGTCTCTATCCTCTTTGAGGATACCCCTGGGTTATGCCCGAGAACTGTCCCACGTGGAGTTCTTGTGAGGACATGTTCTGGGCATGGGTGGAGTCTCTTAAGTACTCACCCACGGAGTTACGAAAACTCCATGAAGATCAGCTGCTGTCCCGCATCCTGGACCAGCGTGATCTTCGTGTGAGGTTTGCCCACTTGATCAGCAAGCGCGTGCTGCCAAGGGACATCCTGAAGCGCGCGGCTTCTAGCGCTCACGATGAGCGCGGGTACGGAGTGTCGTCAGCATCCGTACCCCGTTCGGGCAAGAAGCCCCGGACTACTTATGAAGCTGCCGCCGCTTCTGTTCCCAGATTGCGACAGCCTTCAGGCAGTCAATCAGGAGTTGTTCAATCGGCTCCCACGAGTTCTCGGAGAGGGCATAACCCCTCCACTTCACGAGGAGCTGTCGCTTACCGCGACGCCGTTGCTCCTGGAGGATCTGCTCCATGTGGTAGTGGACTTCTCCATTCCGGTCAAGCAGGGGCGGAGATGCCCTCGTACGAGTACGAGTACTCGGCGCCTCCCGAACGCCACTCTCGTCCGAGTGCTTCTCCTGCGGGTCCGACACAGGGCACAGAGGTTGACCGCCTTCGTCAACGCGTCCTTGTGGTTGAGATTGCACTTGGCCTTGGGACTGGCGGGGATGCTGCCGCCCAGGCCGGGAATCAGGGCGAGCTCGCTCGTCTTGCTGGCCGCCTGGACCTGTTGGAGCGTGAGGTCGCGGGGAGCCTGCATCTGCGGGTGGACCGGCGGGCCGCTTCGTCCGATCTGGACGAGGCCTTTCGCATGATCCGACAGATGGAGGCTCTGCTGCCACGTCCGGAGCCGCCTTCGGCGCACTCACAGTCATACGCGTAGGGTGCGTACCCGGCGTACTCAACGTACCCAGCGTATGGCTCCGGGGTCCATTCGTACGGAGCCCTCCTGCGTACGGTCTTGACCGCAGCTTTGCCGTCCAGACCGAGGCTTGGGTGCCTGCTCCGACGCTTTCGTCGACGTCTGTGGCCGGCCCTCGTTTCGAGGAGCTGGGCCAAGGTGGGTCTGCAACTTAGCAACCCCCTGTGGATCAAGTACCTCTTAAGACGACCAACATAGAACGTCGGGTGCGTCGTCATTGACTTTGGCAGGTCGATGGAGTACGGCGCACCATGTCTGGCCAGGACAAATGGTCCGATGAAGCGGTGCTTCAGCTTGTTGCTGCCGACAGAGCTGACAGTGCCAAGAGGTAGGCTCCTCGTGTCTAATAACACTAAGTCCCCCACTTTAAATACACTTAAGTTTCCTCTTCCATGTTTTTCTGAGTACTCCTTTTGTCTGTCTTGGGCCGCTGGCATGGCATCGCGGACCATGCTGACAACGCTCAGCTTAGTATCCACAAAGATTTCCACTTGTTTCCGCAGTGAAACTTGTCTCACATCCGAGACCTGGGAAGAAAGAGATTTCCGAGACTCTCCCCCACTTAGAATAGAGGGGTCAGCGTCTCCTCGAAGAGTGAGGGGCACTCTGGGGGTGACGGAAGCTGTTCAAGTAGAACGGCGTGAACCCCGTGGACGCGTGCACCGCGTTGTTGAGCGCAAACGCAGCAACGGGAAGCTGCGTCGACCACGTACGTGGTGCTGCCGCGCACACACTGCACAGAGTGTCCTTGAGCACTCCATTGACGCGCTCTGTCTGGCCGTCTGTCTGTGGATGGTTCGCAGTGGACATCTGCAGACGAGCTCCCAGTAACAGTGTTTTTAAGAGCGCAGCCGTGAACCGCGGGTCTCGGTCCGAGCCAATCGTCTCCGGGCGACCGTGATAGCGGAACACGCCATTGACGAACAACCTTGCGGTTTGCTCGCCCGTAACAGTAACGGGAACCGAAGCAAGATGTACCAGCCGACACATGAGCACCAAAATTCCGGTGTTGCCGTGTCCGTCGGCGAGAAGCCCAAAGATGAAGTCAAGACACATCGACTTCCAACAGTCAGCCGGTACGGGCAGGCTCTGTAGTGGAGCCGAAGAGTGCCCTGCGGGTTTGACCCGCTGACATGTTTCACATGTCTTAACGTATCGGGCGACCCACTTGTACATGTGGGTCCACCAGAAGGCCTGCGAAACCGACAGAAAGGTCTTCTCGCGGCCCAAGTGGCCACTGGAGGGCGCGTCGTGCGCCTCCGCGAGATTATCGAATTTCAGATCCTCGTCGTTGGGCACGACCACTCGTGAAGGTTCATTGGGCTCCACCCGGTAATAGAGAAGGCCATCCTTCAGCTCATTTCGGTGGAATCGGGAGCGCTGTCGCGACGAAAGCCAGTCGGACTTCGCGCTCGTTCCAGCCGTAAGGAACTTGACGATAGGTGCGACAGCCTCATCGTCTCGATACACCATGCGTATCCGATCATATAGATCCGTTGTCACCCGTGTGATGTGGGCCAACTCGTAGTCTGGACGCCGAGAGAGGGCGTCCGCAAGCACGTTGAGCTTGCCCGGCTTGTATTCGACGCGGAAGTTGTACTCCGCGAAGAAGGACAGCCACCTCGTCATCCGTTGGGAGAGGTGAGGCGAGTTAGTCGCCGTCCTCAACGACGCGTGGTCTGTGTAGATCACAAAGGGCCTAGAGCCCAGAAGGTGAACACGAAACCTCACAAGGGCATACTTCATTGCCAGGAGCTCCTTGTCGTGGACATGGTAGTCCCGTTCGGCGGCTTTGAGCTGCCTGGACTGAAACGAGATGACTCGTTCGTGTCCAGCCGTGTCGGCCTGCAGCAATGCACATCCGATGGCGTAATCGGAGGCATCGCAGACGACGCTAAACGGCTTTGTCTCGTCCGACAGGGCCAGGACAGGGGCCTCTTGGAGACTGGCCTTGAT